AGAATATAAACCAAAAGATATACATATATTCGATGGTTTGATATTCGTGATCTGTGTGTGTGCATTTATACAAATAAAGGGAAAGAGGCAAGAAATCAGCTTTTTGCTGCACAATTCCCATCTATTTTGGGGGCCTTGAATGTGCATGAGAGTACTCATATCTATTCATAATTCGTTATTTGTCATTGTTACCGAATCTGTTGATTCGACTGCTTTCGGCCGAAACCAACATGTTGATTTTCTAAGCAATTAATTTGATTAACTGCCAAAAATGGTTGCGGGCTGCGGTTTTTCAAGCAGGGAGGCTCTTTTGATCTAGCTGATCAGCCCGAATGCGGGGCGAGTGAGTTATAAGTCCGTCGGACATCTATCATGACCATTAAGTGTTATTAATTAAAAGTTCTTACCAAATAATTGTAGCTATGATATAAGACAGTCAAGGCAACCGCCAAAATGGATATTATGCTGTGGGATTTTTGCATAGCAACGGAAATTCCTCATTTGAATTAAAACAGAAAAATATTCAAAAACTTTTTAAGTTTCTACAGAAAACAAGAGACATACATTTTTCATAGCAACATTTTTCTTTCATTTGTTTCGCAAAAGGCCAAAATCAAATCAATAAAATAAAATCATTAGGGTTCATACCGCCGACTAAGACAAAGCCAAAAACTAGCCAAGTTTGTTGTCTAAGTCTTTCGTTTGCAGCCAAGTTCGTTGTCTAAGTCTTTCGATTGCAACTGTGAGAGGCGAAAAAAAGGTTGCTCCGATTTTGTGCTCGATTTTTGTCGGATTGTGTAGTCACTTTTTGGACAATAAACACATTGCAACGATGTTATCAAATAGCCAACAACATGGCCACCTGCCAGCCACACCCCTTCTTTCTGGCTTTGGATTTTGGTCTCGTGGGGCGTATGCTTCACTGATTAGCTGTTGCCAATTTTTGCCGGCAATAAAAATTAGTCGCAATGCACGAATATGGATTTGGCTTTGTGGTTGATTTTTTTTTACAGCTTTTTTATTCCTTTTGAAATTTGAAATTTGAATTTGAATTTTTTTGTGGACTCTGTCGATTCGAATGCAAAAATTGAAAACTCTTTTAGCCTGCCAATCGAACGTTAATTAATTACGATTTATTGACTAAATTTGTTGATTAGACAATTGACGTCTGTCGATGTTGCATTCGTTGTTGCTATAATTACTGTTTTATACCCTGGTTGCCGCAGTTTTAGTGGTTGCCACACATTTTGCTCGCTCGCCACAATTGTCGTCAATTAATTTTGTTTTGATTTCGCTGATTTGATATGCCGACGACGCCGCCTTGCAGGTGGCATTGAGATTTAACAGCCAGTGTTTTATGCTCTTTCCTCATTCGAAAATTGCTATCAAATCAAAAGCGAATCAATCATTAATTACGGATATAAATCGTTTTAGTGTCTTGGCTAACGAAACTCGAATATTTTGTTTGAAAGAAAAAGTTGAACTAATTTCGCGAATAAGAGGTTGTTAAGATGGTGAAAAAGATCATTTGGAAGTTGTAAAACTCAGATGATTTCAAAGGTGAATAGAGTTTTGTGGTAAAGAAATTTTTATTTGTAATTTTAATAAGGAAAAAAAAAAGAAAATATCCTAGCCTCACACCTAACATCATTGCTACAGTTATTTTGTCTTTTTTTACGAATAAACCATTAATTATAGGATAATACTCATCTTAATTGTGTGATTTTCTTAATGTCTGTCCGGACAGTGGCTTCCCAGAGATGGTTGGAAAAAACTCTTAAAATCACCATTCGAAATCCCAATTCGTCTCGGCCAAGCAACTAACGGAGAGAAATGACTGACAAGTGTACGGCACAAAATTTCCATAGATATACTCTGAAGCGAGGTGATCTGATGGTGTGAAATTCCTAACTCGCCACTCTTATGGCCACTTCTTGCCGCATCAATCAACGGCGGCAGTTTAAATGCTGCATCATGACAAAACCATTACACTTGACCAGACTCAAAGAGTGGATAGTCGGCAGATGCTCAGATGACTAGGCTTCTTGGCCGTGATTGATTGATTGGCAGCGTGAGGTGAACTTGGGCAACCCGGCTGATGCTTTTGTCTAAAAGCCGTTTAGAATAACACCACAACGAGCCGGGACCCACAGCCAACGACGCCGGATCCCAAGTCCAGGCCAGCAGCGAGAAATTATGCATTGTATTGGTAGATAAACCCAAAATGAAGAAAACAGAAATAATGTTTAATCTGTGCAATGCACCCTCACCTGGCCTCATCTTGAACATTCTCATCCACACTGCGGGAAATTGTGGGGGAAAGTTGTGATATTTTAAGTTAAATATTTGTATATTTTAAATAGAATTTTCAAATGATTTGACTTCTTGCATTGCTCCTTTCTATCAAGTTTGTTACCTAAGTCCTTTGTTTACAATTAGTGAGATTCTTTTCCCATATTCCCATCAGTGCAACAATCACCTGCCGCACACACAAACACTCGTCTCTTTAACAGCAGTCTCAGCATTTTTGGTGGTTATTAAAAAGAGTTCCCATCAATATAGAAAATATTTGAAATCGCCCGCATATTTTCTAACAATCTCTGGCCCACTTTTCTCCTTGTGTAAGGAGTCTTTAGTTTATTCTGGAGGATCAGCAGCAGTTGAATACCAGCCGCTGGCCAACCGTCCAGTTGATTGCGCCTTCATTATTATGCCAAACTGTGCGCCGGCATTCGTTGAATTTGGCTTTTGCAATTTGCTCTCGATGCCGGCCGGCCGTTTGCCTCCTTTCTGGCTCGAAACCCAAACTCCTTCGTTTTGGGGGCATTAAAAATGAGCTCAACGTAACAGGTGGATGCCAATGCCGATGCCGACGATGCTCGACGTGATTTTCGCCAAATCGTTTAGATTATTTCGAGATTGCTTGCGCCAGTCGCTCGGAACAGCCAACCAACCGTCTTGGCACTCCTTCACTTCACTTCACTTCGCTTCAGTCCGCACCTTGCATTTGAACTTGAAACATTTCATTTTTTTTTCTGTTTTCTGTCTTAGCTGCCTGTAGCTGGAGGCATCCACTTCCACTATCCACAACATCCACTATCCACAGCATCCAGTTCTTCGGCCCGATCGATTAGTGGCATTCTATTGCGTTCAATTTTCCATGTGCAACATTGAAGCGATCGTCGAGAGCTCTGCCATCGCCGCTGGCACAATAAACACGCGATTTATTTCATGCCAGGCATTCAAGTGCCGCCTCAGTCGGTCAAAGCCAAGGAGGAGCCCAATCCAATCCTCGTGGCCTGCTCTGGACTCACCTGGACCGACTTGCCTTGGCTCGGCCTGTGGTATGTGATAATGGGATGATGGTATGATGATGCATGCCCAGCATACACAACAACAGCAAGGGGCCAAAACGAGGGACGAGTGAGGGGCATAAGCTAAACCCTAAGTTTGGGTATGGAAGCGGGAATGCTCTACGAGGTTTTTCAATGGAAACATCTTAAACATTTTGCAAAGGATTCATCTTTCTTTGAAAGTATTGGCTTAATAATATATTGATCTATTATGAACATTGCAGGAAATTTTTTAGACTTGAATTAACAACCAAGCAAACTAAGAGTACAAAAAATTTTAAGCAATTTAAAAATATGAAGATTAAATAGAATAAAATTTGATATGCTGGCTAACAACCTTTACCTCATAGCCCATGTGGTCTTTCAATTATTAGGGTATCCACAACAGTAATAATAGCTGCCCACTATTCGATTTTTTTTGCGGGCTTTAACTAGCGACCAAGGTTAGTCGCAGGCTTGCTGGCAAGTTGCTGCAACTATCGGTCGTAGGGGGCTTACTCTGGCGCATTTTAGCCGGTAATTGCTTGTGATGTATGATTTTGAGTTCTAGTTTTCCTGGCCTGGGAATATTTCTGAGCCGGCCCCGGCTTTTGTTGTCCGCCTGATTGCTGGCGATGCCTATATATGCGGGTGATGTATGTTATATAGCCGAAGCCACAGGTATAAGCTATAGCCATAGATATTGATTTGACAGGCTCTGAGCGACGACTCCAGCTTTAACTTCATCTTGGCCTGCTGATGATGACGACGACGATGGGAGATGCCAAAGCACCGACTGTCACACTTTCTAAGCCGAGGAGGGCACTTTCACCCAATTAGAGTGCGATAAGAGCACGGCCTGGAAATATGCAAAGTACCAATGGCCATAGCCCAGCCTCCCTTTGCCGCCGATGACAATCTTTTGTTTTCACTTCTGCAGAAACAAAAGCCATAAAGGATAAATTGTGAGCTGGTAGCCGCGCATTGAACTCTTGGCTTCGACAAGTGCACAGCAGGGGACCCAGAAGATCACCGATATCCTACGCCCAAAACTTAAGAAAGACCACAAAATATACGATACCCCGAAAGCCTGCAATTTTGTTTTCATTGTGAGCTAAATGGAGTTGACCAAGGCGATCGTATCGCCTTATTGTTTGGCTTAACAATTGGGTTAAGTTTTTTTTGGGGGCTTCTATCGTACACATGATTGATCGAGGAAGCCGGGGGAGCTGCGGGAGAATCCAAAAAGCCACAAATATTCTTTACATGCAGACAATTTCTCCCCCACTACGAGACGTTTTCATTGTGCTTTTCATGCCATTTCGATACGGGCCTCATTTTTCTTGCCACAATTAAGAAGAAAGTTGGCAGCAATTAGAAAACGCACATCGATCAAAATCGCCTCCCGACACCGAACGTCATGTTCGAGTGCCGTGTTTTGTTTGTTTGTCCAAAACGGCATTTCAACCTGCAGACAAGTGAGTGTGTTGCCGCGAAGCCCGGATAATGGTTGGGGTCCAAAAGCGCTATTAAGAAACTTCTTTGTGCTATTGTAATATTAGAATGTAATATTTTCTAAATACCCATTCTCTTATATCGCCTTTGAAGGGCACAAGTGTGACCTATAAACATTGCTTTCATGTCAACCAGGATATTTCCTTCAAGTAGAGCACTTCAATCCAAATTCCAGCCACATTTATTATTTCCCAGATACAACGTAACTCCATCTCAATGTCGCGTATAATAAACCCAGATCAGGTCCCACGGGACAGGAGTTTGGCCCAGGAGCTGCGAAGTGAAATTAACAGAAATTCAGCGGAAATTAGCTTCAACTTTTGGCAGGAGTTTGAGCTTATTCGGTCCGCCCAGCGAAACCGGCTGGCCGAAGAGCATTTGGCTCGGGAAAGGATTACTACCTTGATGCAGGATGGTCAACAGGAGGTCAATCAGGAGGCAGAGGCCCTCAGCCGATCGATCAGTGCGCATGGAGTAACGTCGACCAATTTGCCATCACCATCGAGAGCAATTGCAGATGCCGCGAAATCCTTGGTGAAGAGCAATTTAGACCAAGGAGTCAAAAATATTTCCAATCGCTCAAATCCGGCTGTTAGGCGAAAGACCCAAAAGCAGAAATTGCTAACGATAAAGACTAAGTCTAAACCAAAGCCAAAAACTGATGATAAACCCTCGCCAGCCCTTTCGAACATTCCAAGGGCACCGCCCACCTCCAGGGCCACCATGATAGCCCCGAATATTTCCAACAGGGTAACTCCCAATACATCCCAGTTTCGATTAGCAAAAAAGCCCAAAAAATAACCCTTTTAATTCAGTCACTAAATCATGTTTTACGCTGCAGTTTGTAGTTTTATGAGAGTTAATGAATTATTAAATTAAAGTAGAGATGTAAATGTCTTGTTGATATCTTTTTCGCGCAATCTGTGTCCCGCATAAACCCATTTCCACAATACCAATCCGCTGACGAATGCCACCCGGCGTGCACTTTGCACTACAAATTCCGGCTAAAACATACACATAACGAAGCCAAAACAGAGTCAACAACAAAGACGGCGACGAGGCAGAGACTTGCAAATTAATTAACGGTACACGGGCCTCTCGATGAGGAGTTGATCCGAAAATCAGAGAGCCAAAAAATCCGAAAACAAGCCCGACACACGCACCCCAGACACCTGAGTAATCAGCATTATGTGGGCATGGCCATCGATGGAGGTGCTGCTGCTGGTGGTACTCGAACTTCTCGATAAATCACCGATAAAAAACAATCAACGCAAATGTAACGTTATTCATCACAGGTGGTAAATATTTCAAACCGAAACTGACAACAAACGCGCGCCGAGCTCAAAAATAAAACTCATACCGCTGGCGTTGTTCGCGTTTCTGGTTTCGGTTTCTGTTCTCAGATTTCCGAGACTCAGATTCGTACGATTTCTGGGTCAGAATAATTAATAAGATCTGCGCCTTTTTGGCGCATGACTGGGCCATAACAAAGATGTGGCAACACATAAAGAAAAACGGATCAATTTTTGATAGGTATTACTCATTAATGATACCTTAATAAATATCCCATTAAAAAATGTAACATGATGTACGGATTAAACTTAAAAATAATGGAAAAAAGGTTGAAAAATCGGCTTAAATTTCAACTTACTCAGTTTCTGAAGTCGTCATTATAAAAATATTTTAAAAATTTTCCGCGCAGAGATTTCGGCAGTTTTGTCGTCGCTTTGGCGCATGCGCACCAATAATCAATCAAAACGTCTTAAACAAATCACTCGGGCCGCATGTGCAACTACCAAAAAATCAACTGAGCAGAGACAAAAAATTACAGAGCCGACGACTGACTGACTGACAAACTGACTGACTGGCAAGTTTGGCAACTCCGAGGCTGTGGAACTCTGGAGTACGGAGAACTGAACTGTGATGGACAACAGTCACGATTTGCATGTGCGACAACTGTTGCCAGACCGGCAACAACGAAGCCAGAAACAACCATCACCCAGGCACATTGAACTGTCATTGACACGGGGGGAGAATCGAGGAGAACGCCAACCCGGAGACCGGAGATCGGAGACTGGAGACCAAAGACACCTGTAGCAGCAGACACAGAAGTTGAAAGGCAAAAGGCGAACTCCCTCGCACAGTGGTTAAATGCTCAATCGAAATATACCATTCACCTAGAGAAAGATTTTTGGAAAGTTGATCATGTCAAAACTTAATGAAAATAAAACACACATTATAGAAAATTACAAAGGTCAAACTTCACCTATGCTGCTCGATATTGTAATAAAAAATGTTTTATTCGTATTGCTATTACAAGTTCGTGAACTAATTTAATAGCGCACCTTTGGTAGGTTTCGAAAAATTCTTTTCAAAGGTTCAAGAACTTTGCTGTCATTAAATGAAACAATAAAAATGTTGAACTATTTCATAAGATCTCTGAGCATTAGAACGTCATTACCCAAATGTGAACACTAATTTTTTTTGCTAAACAATTAAATGTAAGGCTAGAGGTAATTATTGTAACATTTAATGCCACCCCCAAGTCACTGTACACAGGTCCGCTTTGGCTATTGGATTTGTTTGGTATCTTTGGTGGGTGCGGCGGTTTCAGTAGCCACCACCAACAGCTGGACCCCCGACCCTCAGCATGCCACCCACCGAACCCCCTTTTGAGCCACTGAAATGGCAAACTCTGAGGCCAATTACCGCAAACAAATTCGAATGCGAATGCGCATTGAAATTGTGGCAAGGTTGGTAATTTAAGACTCACGCCGTCTCGAAATAAAAGGAGTTTGAGAAACAGATAGAGATTCCCGGGAGAAGAACTGGTGTCGCACACCTTGGTGGTGCAAGGAAAGGATTTGTTTAATTTGAAAATGTAATAATTTAAAATAATATAAAAAAGTTAGTTAAATCTTAATGCTAAATCTAATAAATAGTACTAAAAATAGAAAACTATCTGTAATCAAGGTCACACCACACCAAAAGAGATGTGAAAGGTCACACTCATCCTACTGAAAAAAACCTTTTTAAAAAGTCAAGCTTGATGACCACTTCCTAAGTTTTTTCTCTGTGTGGAAGTCCGCCTGTGACCAGGTGATTGAATTGCTGATTTAACGGTTTCTGTTGTCAAATTAATGACATTCATTCATTCCATGTGGTCGAGTCAGAGTCGGAGTTTTAAGACCGACTTTGAGCTGAGCAAACGTGGCCAAAAACGGTAGTTTTTTTATTGCAGCTCTGGCAAATTGCAGCGCGTGTTATTATTGTTGTTATTACTGCTGCCGCCGTTGTCATTGCTGTTATTAATGTAGTTATTAAATATTTACAACTGCCGCCGCACAAAGCGTGCCTTAAAGAGAACGAAAAAAAAAGGTTTATTGAGATTGGGAGTGGGCCGGGTTCACAGTTGGGTGTCAAAGTGCAAAAGTTTAGCGCAAAGTTCTTGTCATTATTTGTTCGCTGCTTGTTGATCGGATTCTGTTTCCTTGTAAAGTGAAAGGGAAACGCTGGCAAATCTATTCTCGGCCGCCTTGAGTTTAAGGCTTAATTAATGGCTCTTTTATATAATTTAATTAGTTGTTAATGATTTGCTGATTGGAATGGCGCGGGTGGTGGCCCCCCATGAATCAAATGCTAAACTAGACTGACTTCGCAGGGGCTTGGCAGATGTCAGGGTTGTTGCCCAAAGAAGTGGCTAATGGTCTAATGGCCCAGTCATGACTGTCCCGTAGTGATAGCGGCTAATGGCTGGGATTGCCAAAATATTGGATATGCCAAAATAATGAATTATCAAGCACTTTGCAAGATATGAGATGGTTTTAGGAGGACAATAAATCGTGGAGATAAAGCTGTTAATTGCGAATAAACTAATTTAAAGTTAACCTAAATATACTTATATATCATAATAAATATTCCCATTTAAATTTAAAAAACAAATTACCTTAGTGAAACCCATTCCATTTGAAATTAAACATTAGTTAATCATATTTGATCGATTTAATTTGCATACGCCTTTTCTGGTTGCCATTGACCGAAACCGCAACTCCCACTTTCCAGCTCGGTTCCCCACAAATAAAGCTTGGCCCAAAAAATATGTAAGTTGAGGCCAAATCGAACATGGCAGGCTAGACAAAATGCTTGTTGTCGATTTTCGCGTTCGATTTTTAACAAATCCCCCGAACTAAGTAAACAGCAAGTTGGCTGCGTGAATTGCGCATTCAACATGCGTACACCACGCGATAAATAATATTGGAAAATGTTTTTGAATTTGTCACAATTTCAGCGATTGCGTGGCCAAAAAACCAAACACGAGAAAAAAATAAATAGTCAAACATTCGAAGGCTTTTATAATATTTATCGGAAAAGCGATTTCCTTGCCAATTAGTCAAGGCTTATGGGGGCGTTAAGCGAGTGCTTAACTCAGGCACGAAAATTGCCGCCAGATGGGCATAAAGATATGAGGCGACACATGGGCCCGGCGATAAGGTAAAAAATACCAACGGCTTAAGCGGCAGCGACCTGTCAATATTCGATTTGATTGATTTCGATACGATTCCACACGGCCAGACTATATTCGAAAGCCAGATGCAAAACGGTTTGTATCAAAAACGCAATCGTAACTCAAGTGCTCCACATTAGGCATCAGAAATCCGTGTCTGCCTATCGTTTTCCGCGCATTTTATTGCCACACCAAGGCAATAATCTAAATGCTCATATCAAAAACGCATGTCGGGAGCCAAAACCAAACCCAGATCGTGGCTAAAATCCCAAGCCAAAATGCTAAAGACGATGGCAGTGGCGCACGCAACTGTCCAGAAAGGAAACTCTCCTGTTGCTTTTGCTCTTGATTTTGGTACACAAATATTTTGAATGTTTATGCACTTTTGGAGGGTATTTAAATTGTATATAATTATATATTAACTTAGTTTTTATAATAGTGCAATATTAAATTTTTGCTAAAAAAATATACTTAAAATGTAATGAAGTTTACGTAGTAATTCCCCTGAAGGGTATTTTAAACTTCTACACCTCAAAAACTGATAATTTCTTTCCTTTCTTTGCCCATATTCCCTTCAGTTTTCTCAGTTGACGTTGTCGTAGTAAGTGCAGTAACTCAATATTAACCACTTACACGTTAATTTAGGCACAAATTGAATTAATAAACCATGTTGGACATTGTGTGCGGTCCAGAGGAAACCGAAGCGAGCCAGCTCCTTTTCATATTTCATTAATTTATGCACGGAACACGGCTCAATGAACCACGAAAACAACTGGCTGGCCAACAACGCAGCCAAATTTGAATTTACAAGCACGTAACCTGTGCGCACCCCCCTCGATCGGTTCCCCCTTTGGCCCGCCACCTTATTTTAGCCAACTCTTTGGCCGGCTTCCTTCTCTTTGGCAAACGCTGACGTGATTGGCTTCGAATTTGGTTCCTTTCGGTTCCACTCGCTTGTAAATTAGAACACGCTCAAAAATGTTACCTACACAATTTGCATGTCGCTGCTACCCATAAAAATGAGAGAGACCCCACGACGATGGTCGTCGTTGCCCCGGCCCGCGGGGATTCCCCTTGGAGTCCTCTTACCACAAAAGCAAAACCCCACTACAAGGTCTAGAGGCAAATTGCGTAAATCTGACTTTCATTTACACCTTCGGTGGAGGGGCAGCCAGAAGTGCTCCAACAAGTGCTGCAAGGGATACTTTTGAAGTGTCCGACATTACGCCAGGGGTTGTATCCGGAAATGTTTAAAAAAATGGTCTGGGGTTGTAGCTTTGGGAAAAGAAGGAGCAAAAAGGGTCAAGTACAGAATAAGTGAAATTCCAAAAGAAATTAACAGAGAATGTAGGCCATTTTATAATGATTCCAGCAAATAATT